GCTTAGGAACAGCAACACGTTCACTCTGCCCAAAGCGAGGACCCTGCGCCTGAAACAGTCCTTCATTCACTGCGCAGTAAGACTCTTCAATGCCAGTGACAATGGCTGATACATGTATCTGAAAACCTATGCCTGCTATTTGCATGCATATAGCAGAGTGAATGGTGTTTGTACTATATTTGTATATAGTGTGTTTTTTGTGTACCTGTCCTGTCTTGTTTTTTTTAACTTATTGTAAAAATCAGTTACACAATTCAGGGATGCATGCAGCATTCCCTGCTTTTGTATGATTTTGTTGATTGAATAATAAACTGTAAATTCTATGACTTCATTGTACAAAAAAACTGCAATGTCCTGCAAATTAACAATCAAAATGATCTATGGCCTTCAGAGTTGTCTGCCTAGATTTTTGCCGGTCTACAAATGTACATCTTTCCTGGCCAAATTTTGTCATTTTGTGTGTGATCAAGTTTGTTCGTTTGTTTGTTTGTTTGTTTCGCATAACAGCTTTTTAGGTGTAACACACCAGTTTTGTACATGTACATGTAAGTACAAGCTGCATAAGACCGGGCTGTAAGGTTTGAACCACTCACAGTGGAAGGATGCCCACTCTTTTCGATAAGTGCGGGGGGTTCTTTTACATGCATGGGGTGTGGCTCTCCCAAACACAGGACCTGCATTCAACATCCTATCCGAGGGACGTCCCTAACCGAAGCTAGGTACTCATTACCCTCCATGTAAATGGGGGGTATTGTTTTTACTCCGTTTCATGTTTGGTCTGATATCTGAAGATCGGTGAGAAGGAACTGTATGATATTTGGCAGATTGATGGATGGGGCCTTGGAGATTGTGTAGGTTGACTTTGAGCACCTGGTGATTGACCTTGGTACTGCAGTTTAATTTTTTTATTCTATTGTTGGCACGTTATGGTCTGTGTGTGCGATGCTAAGGTAGCATGTAGTTGTGGTTACAATGGTTTAGTGATGTAAATTTGGGCCCCCTAGCTGTTTGCTTTGAACCGGAATTGCTATCTCAATGTCAGATTGTTTGCGTTGAATGATCTCAGAACCCGGTGGATGGTTGGCGATCATTTTTGGTATGTGGGTAGACGCTGATTGTCTTTGCGTTTTAGCGTGCATTAGCAGGTTGTCGTAGATTTGCATTGCTTATTTAAAAGGATTTTCACATTTTCACCCCTATTTCATAATAGGATGGTCTGTTTGACCCCAGAGTGTTTTTGTTTATATCTCCAGCTGGCAGGTCATCTTTAATCGGTCATTCAGCAGGGAACTGGGTCATCTGTGGTTTGTTAATATGTTGTGCTTGAGAGGTCATTGACCTCAAACAAACCATGGTAACAAGACACTGAACGCCTGCACATGACAGCTTTGAGGCAACCCCTTCCAATACGAAGTGCCACAACAAAATTCTTAAAGGATAGACATCTATAGACATCTATCATTCTGCTGATAAAAACAAAGTTTGACTCATAATATCTCTATTAAAATACACCAAAAGATTACAAAATAACAAGCTATTTCATGGAGGGACGATGTCTACGACTTCTCCTTGTTTACATCTGAGTCTGAGTGAAGTGAGGAAAGTCGTGTCAAGTGCCTTTCCCAAGGGCACAAGATCACTGCCATTGGGCAGGAATTGAACCTGGGACCTCTTTAGGTCTGAGCTGAACACTCTACCAGCCTTCTCAAAAAAATTTAGAGTAGGTGGCTGATAAGAAAAAGTAGCAGGCGAGCCACGAAGTGGCTCGAAGCGAGCCGCGCAGCGG